CGACAAATGCTAAAACATGACATGCCATAAAATAATAGAAAAAACATTTACCTCAAAATATTCTGAATCTGCATCGAGATCAGATGGTTCGTAGTCCTTATCTACTACACTATCATCTTCTTCACTAATATCATCGTTAATTTCACTGTCTTTATCACTTACTTCATCACCTGAGAGAAGCGCGCCGTCCATTTTGTTGGCTTGTCAAGTTCTAACCTGCAGATATTAACGAAGCAGTGTTAATGCAAGAACGAGATTTTAGGATAAGTGGGGACATCTGTACGAATAACATTGTACAAATTTTTATGCGGCTTGTTATTGCTCGCTGCCGTTGGGAACATGCCGTATATTGATTAATTAATACTTGGTTCTTGTCCTATCACGTGTTGATTGTTAAGTACCTCTATTTTTCACTTCTTTTTAATCTGATTTATTGTTTTTTTCTCTGTTCTTTTTATCAAACTATTTGCGCAATTTAAGATACTGATTTAAGTTTTTGTGTCCTTTTTTTCTTTCTTATTGTATTTTTTAAAGTGGCACAGTTTGAATTAGGTTTGTCCTATGCTGTGTCCCATGAAGCAGCAAAAATGATCTCTGTGATCCTTTCATTGTGTCATCTTTGTTTCGGTCACCTACTCTGTTTCCATAAACGTAATGACTAAGGTTTGAGTTAGTATATCTATTGTTGTTCGCGATGTTGTTGTAGGGCTGAATTTTTTATTAGCCCTGGGCTTAGTGCCCTATTATCCTCTGCTATTTCTTACAGCCACCATTTTTACAATTTTAACCCTTAAATTCATCATGTTGCCGATTAGCAACATAGCTAAATCAAGCATGTAAAAGCCCATAATAACATGAATCTCAAGTAACTGCATACCGTAGCCCATTAGTCACATTGTGTAAACTTATATAATTTAACGGTATTTTGATAGATGGCGTAAGGGGTGCGTTTCAGACGATTTTGTTACCCAATACCTAACCTAACAGATGCGTTTTTGTTAACAAAAGTTTATAAAACCAATTGAGTTAGAAATTGAGTGAAGAAAAATATTTTTATATCGGGTAAGATGTGTAGTTCATAATATTATTGTGCTTTAGTCATATAATTACAACAGTAACTAAAAATGCCAAAATAATGTTGTGTTGCCGTTCGGCAACAATATGCATTCAGGCACGTTTTCGATAGGTTTTGCTGACATATTGTTATGTTACTTTAGAATGGATCGTCGAAATTTTTTATCCGAAAAAGACCTAGAAGAATATTGGAAAAACTTTACTGGCTTAGAAAGTGAAGATGATGTTGATTTTTCAGATACATATAGCCTTGTAGACCCCCCATTTGTACCCGAGTCAACAGATGATGATACAGATACAGAACCTGAACAGGTAGACCAAGAAAACAAACATGTAGACCAAACAGGTGAAAATGTCGCATCAACTTCCAAACAACGGGCAAAGAGTACNTGTAAATTTAAATAAAACTAATAATTACACTTTATAGAGTCTAGATTAAAATTATAATCCATTCTACCAGTTTGAATTGTAGTTACGGGTGTAAATAATGGAAACGTACTCCTAATGTTTGTTTCTTACTCTTAAGCTTTTGTTGCAGGTTGCTTGTGACCGCAAATCCCAGATCACGCAACATGTTGCTACCGATTTACATAAGAAAAAAACTCATCAACTTAATCAAACTAAAATGTCTCAACAATCTTTGAAGCAAGCTATTCAACCAGAAACAACCAAAAATAAGCAGCAAATATTTAATGCAGGATTATGCAAAGCCTTCTTGGCAGCCAACATTCCATTTCAAAAATTGCAAACAAAATTTCTAAAAAAATTTCTAGAACAGTATTCTGGGCGTACTGTACCGGATGAAAGTACTTTGCGCAAGGGCTACGTAAATGAGGAGTATGTTAAAATAATTAGGACTATCAAAGAAGTAGTCAAAAACCACTACGTATATTTAATAGTTGACGAAACTACCGATTGTTGTGGAAGATATATTGCGAACTTGCTGATAGGTGTTTTACGTAGTTCATTTGCTGGTAAATCATATTTAATTGCTTGCAAACAATTAGACAAAACTAACCATCTTACAATTTTACGTTTCGTAAATGAAACGTTAATGAATTTTTTCTTCCGGAAATTGTACCACCAGAGCCTGTCATTACACGGTGGGGTACCTGGTTAACTGCTGCAACATTTTATGCCCTACATTTTACGTCTATAAAGGAATTAATCATGGATTTTGAGGAGGAAAATAATTAAGCAATTAAAAAATGTAAAGCACTATTAAAAAAAGCGACATTAGGTTCAGAATTAGTGTTTATTCAAAGTAATTATGAGTTTGTCAATAGGATTATTTTAAATTTAGAAACGCAAGCAATGACACTAAATGAGTCTGTTGTAGTAAATGGTAAAGTAGGCCAAATTATTAATAAAAAGTTTTATGAAGTATTAGAAAAAATCACGGTTATATATTGTTATCAAAAGCGGCTAAAATAATTGGTGGATATTTAAGCGATCAGATTAATATTGAGCCAAATTTAATTAGTAACTTTAAATATGCACCCATAACATCTGTAGATGTAGAGAGGAGTTTCTCGAGCTACAAACAGATACTGTCTGATAGACAACGTAACTTTTTAGTTGAGAACATTGAAAAATATATAATTGTAAACTGTAACATTACTGCAGGTATTTAAATATATATATATATATCGATTTTTATGTATGCTGAAGTTTGTAGTCGCCTGTTTATAAATATATTTTATTTAGTTGTATTCTTTTTATTTTAATGAAATAGAGTTTTTAAATCTTTAGATGTTATTTTGAATTGAACCTATTAAAAAAAATACCGACTTTATATATAAATTAATATACTATTTTAACAGTAGTTCAACATGCATGCATATTTTAACCCTTAAATTCATCATGTTGCCGATTAGCAACATAGCTAAATCAAGCATGTAAAAGCCCATAAAACATGAATCTCAAGTAACTGCATACCGTAGCCCATTAGTCACATTGTGTAAACTTATATAATTTAACGGTATTTTGATAGATGGCGTAAGGGGTGCGTTTCAGACGATTTTGTTACCCAATACCTAACCTAACAGATGCGTTTTTGTTAACAAAAGTTTATAAAACCAATTGAGTTAGAAATTGAGTGAAGAAAAATATTTTTATATCGGGTAAGATGTGTAGTTCATAATATTATTGTGCTTTAGTCATATAATTACAACAGTAACTAAAAATGCCAAAATAATGTTGTGTTGCCGTTCGGCAACAATATGCATTCAGGCACGTTTTCGATAGGTTTTGCTGACATATTGTTATGTTACTTTAGAATGGATCGTCGAAATTTTTTATCCGAAAAAGACCTAGAAGAATATTGGAAAAACTTTACTGGCTTAGAAAGTGAAGATGAGGGTGATTTTTCAGATACAGATAGCCTTGTAGACCCCCCATTTGTACCCGAGTCAACAGATGATGATACGGATACAGAACCTGAACAGGTAGACCAAGAAAACAAACATGTAGACCAAACAGGTGAAAATGTCGCATCAACTTCCAAACAACGGGCAAAGAGTACAAAAAAAAGAACAAAGATTATTTGGAAAAAGAAAACCCTTACTCTAAATGATGAACAATTACACTTTCATGGAGATGTGCAACTAAGTGATACCATAATGGCATTAGAAACACCGTATCAGTTTTTTACTTATTTTTTCACGTATGAATTACTTCAGAAAATAACTGATGAAACGAACCTTTATGCCGTACAAAGCAAACCAGAGAGATACAACGTTTTTAGTTCTACTGACATTAGACAGTTTGTGGGTATAATTTTCTATACATCACTGGTCCGAATGCCTAACATAAGAAGCTATTGGAGTGAAAAGCTCCCATTTGCGCCAATAAGAACGGTAATGTCACTAAATAAATTCGAAAAAATTCGTCAATATATTCATTTTAATGACAACAGTAATCTAATTCCATTCTCTCAACCGGGCCATGATAGACTCTACAAAATAAGACCACTAATTGATATATTGAACAATAGATTTTCCAGCGTACCCCTTGAGCAGCACCTCAGTGTGGATGAGCAAATGTGTTCCACTATAATAGGACACTACATGAAACAATATTTGCCCAAGAAGCCTCACAAATGGGGATTCAAATTATACATAATAGCTGGAGTTTCAGGCTTTTCTTATGCATTTGAAATTTATAGTGGCCAAGAAAATTCTGCGAATCGTCCAGAAGGAGAACCTGATCTAGGACCATCATCTAATACAGTTGTTCGCCTCTCTAGAATTATACCAGAACATCAAAATTTTCGGTTGTATCATGATAACTATTACACAAGCGTACCGCTTATGATATATCTAGCAAAAAAGGAGTATTTTCTTTGGGCACGGTTCAGAGGAAAAGAATACCAGATTGTAAGCTACCCACTGAAAAATGTATGAAAAAATGGCGTCGTGGTGAAAGCTGTGAATATGTAGCAACAGTCGATGGAGTTGACATTTCATCAACAGTATGGAAAGACAACAAATACGTCACTATGTTGTCAAGTTTTGCTGGTACTGCTCCGATACGAAAAGTGAAACGTTTTGACCGAAAATTAAAAATGGTTGTGGAAGTGGATTGTCCATTCGTCATTCGGGAATACAACCGCCATATGGGAGGTGTGGACCTAATGGACAGTAATATTGGAAGATACAAAATACGTATCAAGAGTAGAAAATGGTATTTAAGGATTTTTTACCACCTACTTGACTTAATAGCTGCAAATTCTTGGATTCTTGGATTCTATATAGACCCAGTACACTAGAAAATGAAATACAGAATAAGAAGAAAAAAGGTCCTTGCCAGTACATTCCCCCAAGGACGTCAGAAGAGATCAGTGTGGACATTGGCCTATTTTAGAAGATGGTAAAATGCGATGCAAATATCCAAATTGTAAAGGGTTCACACACACGAANCATACTCCTCGCTCAAAGAAATTTTGTTGGAGCGTTTGAGGGATGTGGAGGTGGTTTTTGTGAAGGGACATCAAAAAGAGAGGTTATTGCGGGAGACGATTGGAGAAGATTTTAAAAATTTAGTTATCATAAATTTAGATATAAATAAGACGTGTCATTATCGCAACATAAACAGCAGTTTAGATTATTAATATATATGTACTTTAAATTTAAGAAAATAAAAAAAATTTATTTTGGCGGCGGCGGTGGTGTTGGTGGTGTGGTAAGTCACTCTCTCTCTGAAAATGGGGGCACTTCTATTGGTCACGTGTGGTGGCGTGGGGTGGGGGACTACTTTCGTCAACGCCCATCCTAACCCCACCCTGCGGGGTGGGGGCTTGGAGGGGCTCTGACGTCAGAAGTATCCTCATGCCATGCTGTGACGTCAGAAGTGTCCTCATTTTCTACCTANAGCCAAGGATGTTGTATGGCAAGAAAAGAATTTACATAACATCCCCTACGATGATGGGGACGTTCCATACTCCTCGCTCAAAGAAATTTTGTTGGAGCGTTTGAGGGATGTGGAGGTGGTTTTTGTGAAGGGACATCAAAAAGAGAGGTTTTTGCGGGAGATGATTGGAGAAGATTTTAAAAATTTAGTTATCATAAATTTAGATATAAGTAAGACGTGTCATCATCGCAACATAAACAGCAACTGTGCATTCGAAAAAAAAAAAAAAAAACATGAAAACATTGTGTAAATTTTTAAAAATAAGTTTAGATTATTAATATATACTTTAAATTTAAGAAAATAAAAAAAAATTATTTTGGCGGCGGGGGTGGTGTTGGTGGTGTGGTAAGTCACTTTCTCTCTAAAAATGGGGGCACTTCTTTTGGTCACGTGTGGTGGCGTGGGGTGGGGGACTACTTTCGTCAACGCCCATCCTAACCCCACCCTGCGGGGTGGGGGCTTGGAGGGACTCTGACGTCAGAAGTATCCTCATGCCATGCTGTGACGTCAGAAGTGTCCTCATTTTCTACCTACTACAACACTAATCTAATTCCATTCTCTCAACCGGACCATGATAGACTCTACAAAATAAGATCACTAATTGATATATTGAACAATAGATTTTCCAGCGTACCCCTTGAGCAGCACCTCAGTGTGGATGAGCAAATGTGTTCCACTAAAATAGGACACTACATGAAACAATATTTGCCCAAGAAGCCTCACAAATGGGGATTCAAATTATACATAATAGCTGGAGTTTCAGGCTTTTCTTATGCATTTGAAATTTATAGTGGCCAAGAAAATTCTGCGAATCGTCCAGAAGGAGAACCTGATCTAGGACCATCATCTAATACAGTTGTTCGCCTCTCTAGAATTATACCAGAACATCAAAATTTTCGGTTGTATCATGATAACTATTACACAAGCGTACCGCTTATGATATATCTAGCAAAAAAAGGAGTATTTTCTTTGGGCACGGTTCAGAGGAAAAGAATACCAGATTGTAAGCTACCCACTGAAAAATGTATGAAAAAATGGCGTCGTGGTGAAAGCTGTGAATATGTAGCAACAGTCGATGGAGTTGACATTTCATCAACAGTATGGAAAGACAACAAATACGTCACTATGTTGTCAAGTTTTGCTGGTACTGCTCCGATACGAAAAGTGAAACGTTTTGACCGAAAATTAAAAATGGTTGTGGAAGTAGATTGTCCATTCGTCATTCGGGAATACAACCGCCATATGGGAGGTGTGGACCTAATGGACAGTAATATTGGAAGATACAAAATACGTATCAAGAGTAGAAAATGGTATTTAAGGATTTTTTACCACCTACTTGACTTGATAGCTGCAAATTCTTGGATTCTATACAAAAAAGTATTACTCGCCAAAGGTACCTCCACTAAAATTCTTTCACAAGCCGAATTTCGCACTGAGCTTGCTGAAACTTTGTGCAAAATAGAAACATCAGTCTCAAAACGAGGCAGACCCAGTACACTAGAAAATGAAATACAGAATAAGAAGAAAAAAGGTCCTTGCTAGTACATTCCCCCCAAGGACGTCAGAAGAGATCAGTGTGGACATTGGCCTATTTTAGAAGATGGTAAAATGCGATGCAAATATCCAAATTGTAAAGGGTTCACACACAAAATGCCAAAAATGCGGAGTAGCACTTTGCCTGAACAAAGACAATAACTGTTTTTATAACTTCCACATTAATTAGATAAATGATAAGTTTACTGTATGCGCAATGTTGCCGTGCGGCAACATACGTTTTTTGTTAAATAAATATTTAAAAAAATAAAATTTAATTTTTTTTCATATTTTTCCTTGACTTTTTATCATCCACTAAACTCGTTTTTCTATGGTTGAGTTGAAAAAAAAATATCATGCATTTAAGGGTTAAAAGATTATTCGGATTTGTATCTAAAAACTGATGTCCTTTTACTTGAAGATGTATTTGAAAAATTCAGACAAGTTTGCTTCAAAACCTACGATTTAGATCCCGCTCATTATTATACTGCCCCAGGACTTTCTTGGGATGCAATGTTGAAATTTACCAAAATTAAATTAGAATTATTGACGGATATAGATCAAGTCCATTTTATTAAGAAAGGTATCCGTGGAGGCATTTCCCAATGCTCCCTACGGTCCGCTAAAGCCAATAATAAATATATGGATGATTATAACCTCAATTTACCGTCAAACTTTTTAATGTATTGGGACGCTAATAATTTGTATGGGTGGGCGATGTCTCAATTTATGCCCGTTTCCAATTTTAAATGGCTGAGTGAAAATGACATACAAAAATTAGATTTTAATAATATACCCGATAATTCCGATTTTGGATATATTTTAGACGTAGATATTGAATACCCTGCAGCTTTGCATGATTTACACAACGATCTCCCGTTTTTAGCTGAGAATTTAATTGCCCCCAATAATCGATGTGAAAGTGAAAGGAGATTAATTCCGAATTTATTTGATAAGAAAAATTATGTGATCCATTATAGAAATTTAAAACAAGCCGTTGCTCACGGTCTTAAAGTTCGTAAAATTAATAGATTAATAGTTTAATAGAAATTAAACTTATTGATGAAAGTGTATTTTCTGTAGGTAAACTTGGTATTAGTGTTGTTAGAGTTTAAGTTTTTAAATTTATTATTTTATAATACAACAAATGAATTTAAAAATGTGGTAAGGTAATTTAAAATTTGGTAAGTAACCTTTTTTACTTTGCTTATATAATATGTAAACTTTCATGTTTTATTTCATCATAACAGCTCTTTCTACTTTGTTTTTGTGAGTATAACTTGTTTATTTGTTTGTTATGTTAAATTGTTGTTTTTATTTTTTCAATTCCTACAGGACCTTACTGCTGATCACTTCGATTTTTTTGTTTGATCAGTTCGATCAGTTTGGTAACTTCGTAATCTCGGCGACTTTTTTCTGGTAAGCCTTCTTTTTCTTTGCATATATTGTTGCTAATCTGGTTTTTTCATTCCTATAGCTCCTTCTATTTAAAATTTCAATTTTTGTTGGTAAGCATAACTTTATTATCGAACGTTTGTATCATAATATATACAATAATTTTTTATCATTCACATCCTATCATTCAGCACCCACTGCAATTAGATTTTAACGTTCTTTTCATCAAGCGATGTAAGTATGTGAGTAAGTGATTTTTTATTAAAATAAAATAAATTAATGTATGAATCTTTTTTATCAAGATGTCTCAAGACTGTTTTAGTCAAATTGATTTAACTGCTCCCGGTTTCGCCAGCAGCCAGGAGTCATTCCTGTTAAACAGTTTTGACATAAACCTGTTGAACATATCGACTGTTGAGAAGGCGCTGGATCCAAACGTGCAGCCTAATGAGCAGCCGATGGATCCTAACGTGGAATCTAATGCGCAGCAAGATCCGTCGCTTCTGAACGTCGCAGGTTCCGCGAATGTCGACGATAACAATGTGAAACGCCTTTCACTTCGTCGGAATTCGGGGAACCGTGAACATTGGAAGAAGGCTGCAGGTGTGTGGATACCGTCAGAAAAGTATAGAGAGGAAAGAAGGGAGGTACGTGCTCGTTCGCGACGTAGCCAACGCAAGTATGTGTCAGTTGAACCAGCGACCCCGTCGAAGGTTGAAATGACACAGTCGAAAGTGGTTATCGAGAACGAGTCCGATAAATCCGACGACTCTCTTGCTTTAATAGCGGTATCACAACACTGTCGTACCGTAAACCGGAAGTATCTTAAAGCTACTAAGGCTTCTCCTTCTTCTTCTAAAGCTTCATTAGCTCCTGCTCCACATCTTAAGGGTTGACAATATTCCTGCTACTTCAGATATTTCCGATGTGTCTGAAAGCCTTTTTTCAAAGGCAATGTGTACAGCAGTAGAAACTACCAAAGGGGTGATTTTAGCCGAAATTAATAGTTTATACCAAAATTTTTATAAAGACCTTCACGAAAAGGTNCCTTTCACTTCGTCGGAATTCGGGGAACCGTGAACATTGGAAGAAGGCTGCAGGTGTGTGGGTACCGTCAGAAAAGTATAGAGAGGAAAGACAAGAAAGAAGGGAGGCACGTGCTCGTTCGCGACGTAGCCAACGCAAGTATATGTCAGTTGAACCAGCGACCCCGTCGAAGGTTGAAATGACACAGTCGAAAGTGGTTATCGAGAACGAGTCCGATAAATCCGACGACTCTCTTGCTTTAATGGCGGTATCACAACACTGTAGTGGAAGTATCTTCAAGCTACTAAGGCTTCTCCTTCTTCTTCTAAAGCTTCATTGGCTCCTGCTCCACATCTTAAGGGTTGACAATATTCCTGCTAATTCAGATATTTCCGATGTGTCTGAGAGCCTTTTTTCAAACGCAATGTGTACAGCAGTAGAAACTACCAAAGGGGTGATTTTAGCCGAAATTAATAGTTTATACCAAAATTTTTATAAAGACCTTCACGAAAAGGTTCGTCAATTGCAAACCTCTTTGAGAGAGCTTTCACAGTTTAGAGAAGGGCTGGCGTCGAGCTGTAACAATTCTTTAACAATATCGCTCGACATCACCATAGCATCATTAACCTGTGAAATTAAAAAGGCTGAATCTATTTTATCTAGTTTCACTACTAATAGCGTAAACTTCCCTTCCTAGCTTAAAGATGACTTCTAACATGCGAGTGAATCACATCATTAGATTGTGCGAATTAGAGCGGAAAGTTGCCGCGTTGGAGGTAAAATTAGAAGCTATATTTAAGTTGGTACGTTATACTTATAATACTTTTTTCCATGTCATTAATTTTATCTTCTCAGCTGCAGAGTGTGTCAGAATCGGCAGTGGTGAGGGGTGAAGTGCATGTGCAAAACATGCACATTAACCGTTGTACTACATCTGTTAGTTCACCGACTCCGGCAACGAGCACCACCACCACCTCCTTACGAAGAAGTAAACACCTTCTCTTCTTTTATTTATTAAGTTAATTATTAAGTTAAATTGCTATTATTTTATAGTTCAATACTCAACATTATCAATATATTTTATGTATCTATATAAAGTTACTTTTGCTATATTTTTATTCAGTCTTATCCTGTTAATGTCATAATTCATTTAGTGCGAGAATCATGATTGATAAGAAACTAAAGTGTTTACCGCAACCGCTAACACTGCCAATACTAAATTTTAGTAAAGGTACGACCGAAGAACACTTTTCAAGACACGGTAATTTATTTGGTGGAAAATGTAAGCGAGGTTTAATTGTAGAACCCTCTGGTGTCGGAAAAACAAATGCTATGTTATCGCTTTTAGTTGCACGTAATGGGCTGCACTTCCTAAACTTGTACTTATGGTCTAATTTGATTTTGAATGAATCCACAAAGGAATACGAAAAAACTCCTTTCTGTCGTATAAGTCGAAACTGTTCTTCGTTCCTAAAATATTTTCTGCTTTGAACGCATTGGTTGTGTTCCAAAAATGAACCCAACTTGTCTAGCGATAAAGCCATAAACCTAAATGAATTATAAATTCACGTCTTTATACATTGGAAAAGCGAGTTGGACCTAATCCTTGAGGATGTTACCATCAAAGGCTAAACATATTATCGTTGAAGAGATACATCGTCCCGCACGTCGCATATTCCCATGACGACACACCATACTGAAGGGTATTGATAATAAAATAAAAAAAACACGTGCATAATAAAGTAAAACCACAATTATCACAACTGAGAAATATGAAAAACGAAATATTAGTCATGGAAAAATAACATTTGCAAAAAATACAGTGGCGAACAAACAAATAAAATACCACAAAAAAAAACAGATACATTTCTTCGGATGACAACATCGGGAAATAGGACAGATAAAAAATGAATATAAAATGTGGTTAAAACGACATTATAGTTATATTAGTTCAATCTAAACAAGAACATAAACAGTAAATTAAAAAAAAGATGAGTTATAAACAGCCATCACAAGCCTTTTTGATTCAGCAGCCGAGGTTGTGACTTTAAACCTACAAAAAGGGTTCATGTATTTGAGCTTTACGGGATGTTGCCGATCCAAATCATATTGACATTGTGGAGGACATGGTTTACCAACCATTGGGATGTGTTGGGAACACATAATCACGACGTAAATAGCCTAATTATGTGTATCGAACCATTCACATTTAATTTCCCATTTCCCCACGATTTACAATGCGATTTCTTTGGAAACTTTGAGGACTACAGGTACGAACATTTAATAGTTAATTTTAAATTTATATATATTTCACGGAACTGTACAATTTTAAGATATGATATTGCATATAGTCCATTCAGACGTCAATGGTATTGCATTATAACCCTCTGTTATACAATTCCGGAGGGTAATGTCTGTCGAAATTGCGTGGATGAATTTAACGATACATTACTAAAGTACTTTATACCTTTACGAAATGCTGGTTTTAAATTAATCCACGATGCGGGAGTTCGTAAAATGGATCATGAGAATTTTGAACTGGCATACTTGGCAAAATGTTATTGAAGGTGAAAATCGGTGGTGTCAATATTGCGTCAGAAAGACGGTTTTTCGTTTTATCCGAACAGAAAGATGCTTTCCAGATTTGCATGACTATGTTAAGGAAGAGGGTTAAAATGTGTGTGTGTGAAAGACGAAAACAAAAAGAACCGGTTTATTTTATACTGTGAGTAATTTCTATTATTTCTCGAATTTTCCTTTTGATAATTTTATTTTTTTCTTTTATCAACAGTTGTTATTGGAAATTTGTTTATCTAGAGATGTTATTGCGTCTAACCACATTATTTTTTTGCGGTTTACATTATCTCTACCGCCTGGTGCGAAATGTATTCATTCCGAATTTATACTCCAAACTATTCACTTGAAGTTTATACGCCGCTTATTGAAAAGATGGAACATCTAAATCGTTTAGGACAGTGTGAATTTTTACCTAAGAAAAAAGTGAGTGATTTACATTTACATACATCGTATCCAATTGTAGCAGGTAAACGAATTCCAAGTCGAGCTTGGCCTACGGTAATTGTTGAACTGGAAGCTGGATTTATTGTGTTTCTGCCTAAACGTATTGCTGAGGTGATTTCCGATGCTGAAATTGTTGAACTACGTGAAATGTGTTTGGTATATCTTGGAGAACTTGAACTTAACAAGACATGTACTGTGAAAAAGATTGAATTTATAAAGAAGAAGAGGATTGATTCAAATGATGAAATTCCATCGGCATCTATTTCTTGAGTGTAGTCATATTTCAAGTTAATCACAGATTATATATATATTGCTTTTTATATTATCCTGATATAATTTATTGTTAATTTGAAATGTAATAATTTTTTTTTTGTAATAAGTTTTTTCATTTCTAACGTTACGCTAATTTACAGTTCACTTATCACTCACTCTTATTTGCACCACTGAAATCTAGGTGGCGCCATTGTATTTGATTTTTTCTGTTTAATTTTATAAAAAATTCCTTAGATCTCTAGTTACTTTTAATACCAACCAAATTTTTTTTCCCCCAAACTTCGGTTGGCACCGCTCCCTATACCTTATACATTGAGGCGTGACGTCACCGCAGGATTGGCAGGATTAACTTCTGCTTTAGAACCGGCATTCTTACACTACTTATGTGTCTCGAAATCAACATAATATATGAAGTCAACATCCCCAGACACTTGGATGATGATACCGTGGAACGCCGCAATGAACTACAAAGGGCAAGGAGAGAACGAGGAAATATACTATCTATGGGAGTAATGGTTTCGATCACTTAAAGTCATTTTTGACCCCCAAATCCACAGTGGATTTTATTCAACAGACAAATAGTGCGGTAAATGCGGATCCTTTTCTAAGTGCCTTTGTAAATTTGGTCAAAGCGGCTGTTCAGACGGCAAAACAGGTAAAGTTACAATCAATGACCGCTGCACACCTTGAAGTTCCTGAATGGAGCAGACCCCTATATGCCGTTGATTAATTTTTTAAAAAATTGTCGAAACCACAACTTTTACGATTATCGAAATCGTACTTTAATAAAAAAAACTTTTCTTATTGGAATCAATTACAAAATAATTGCGTGGATATGAAGTTAAATTGTTATGATTACCAGTGGCGCACCGTTAGTTCAATGCAGTCAAGTTGATTTGAGCTTATTTAAAAACATCAAGTCGGAAAGAAAAATGACACTTACTGAGATAAAGAACAATTGAGGAGCTCGCGTGCAAAACCGGATATATCCATCTTTTTACACAAACTCTTGTTTTTGTGGTTTTAGAGAGTTGGGCGTGAGATGTATCAATAGAAGTATTCAGTTGCGGCCAAAACGAGATATATCCCATTAAAATCGTTACGTAAAGTTTGCAATTTGGAGCAAAACCGATTATATCCAGATATTGTAAGCAAAAACGGATATATCCATATCTACAAATTTGTGCGAGTTGACTGCATATTTTAGTTCGTTACAGGTATTTCTGTACTCTTGTAAAGCTTTTCGAACAAAAGTAGTGTTTTTATTGTTTGAATCTGACTCGTGATTATGGAGGAAGAAAATATTAGTGTAAATAAAGGTAATAATGGAAGTAGGCAAAGAAAAAAACGCATGAACAAAAAAGAGTTGCGTAAAAAGGAAAAGTAAGGAAAAGATTTTGTTCGATTTCAAAATAGTGAAGACTTCTTTGTCGCTGGGAAAGGAGTACTTGGCATTCCAGATCAATAGACGAGACCCTTAAACAACATTGGTATCATTAAAAAATGGTATCTAAAATTGGATGCGAAAACACAGCAGCAAAATTAGTTTCTATATTTAAAGAACTAAATAGGAAATAGGACAAAAGCGAACTAAAGAAAGACAAGATAGAAGGGAGGCACGTGCTCGTTCGTGATGTAGCCAACGCAAGTGTGTGTCAGTTGAACCAGCGACCCCGTCGAAGGTTGAAATGACACAGTTGAAAGTGGTTGGGTTGGGTTGGGTTGAGTCCGATAAATCTGACGATTCTCTTGCTTTAATGGCGGTATCACAACACTGTACCGTAAACCGGAAATATCTTAAAGCTACTTAAGCTTCTTCTTCTAAAGCTTCGTTGGCTCCTGCTCCCGTTACTAACTCAAATATCCCCAACACCGAAATTCCTTCGTTAAACCCGAAAGTACACATCTTAAGGGTTGACAATATTCCTGCTAATATTCCTGCTACTTCAGATATTTCCGATGTGTCTGCCAGCCTTTTTTCAAACGCAATGTGTACATCAGTAGAAACTACCAAAGGGATGATTTTAGCCGAAATTAATAGCTTATATCAAAATTTTTATAAAGACCTTCATGAAAAGGTTCGTCAATTGCAAACCTCTTTGAGAGAGCTNAGTGGTGAGAGGGCAGGTGCATGTTCAAAACATGCACATCGCTCGACATCACCATAGCATCATTAACCTCTGAAATTAAAAAGGCTGAATCTATTTTATCTAGTTTCACTACTAATAGCGTAAACTTCCCTTCCTAGCTTAAAGATGACTTCCAACAATATAACTTATAATCACATGATCAGATTATGTAATTTGAAGCGGAAAGTTGCCTCGTTGGAAGTGAAATTAGAGGCACTGTTTAAATTAGTACCTTATATTTATAATACTTTTTTCCAAATCATTAATTTTATCTTCTTAGGTGCAGAGTGTGTCTGAGTCGGCAGTGGTGAGGGGCGAAGTACATGTGCAAAACATGCACATTAACCACTGCACCACAACCGTTAGTGCACCAGCAGCACCACCACCGCCTTATGAAGCAGGGAACCGAATACATCAAGAAGAGGAGGAGGAGTGGTAACTACTCCTTCTCCTCTTTTTATTATTAGGTTAATTATTATTATTATTGTTACTATTATTATTACTAGTATTACTATTATTATTTTATAATTATAGATAAATATATCTATATAAAGTTACTTTTGCTATATTTTCATTCAATCTTATCCTGAAACTAAGGGAATCAAGTGTAAGTTTAGTAGAAGATACAGAAGCTTGTTCATTGCAGGATGATATCAATTATGATTATAAATAATAAGCGGTCTGGTCTGGTCAAGCTCTGGACAAGTGGGAAGAAAGGCTACTTGAAACTAACCATGTAAATAGATACAAAAAAGTAACGTCAAAGAAACAATTGCAAAGATGGGTAGAATATATTAAAGGAAAAATCGCCGTGTCTATATAAACTGACTTTATATGTAGACACAGAACGTTCAACGTCTTTTTAAGCTGCAACTTCATTTTATTTAAGTTCCTTAAATAACAACTGGTTAGTGGACTTTGATTATAATTCAAAATATATTGAAACGAAAGGGACATACAAAGAAAATTTATCAGAAACTAACGAATTTGTTATTACCAAGCCAGAACAGCCATAGATAATAAATTGTCTTTACATGACATCGACATTCCCAGATGGGTCTTATATACCTCAAGAAACGAAAAACAATATTGCAACTGTTGAAAACATATCATACTTGAGTGCAACGCTTCATAAAGCAAACAGGTTAGTGAGCAGAAGAACAACAAAATGTGAGAAATAACAAAGAACTTGAACTTTACTAGTATTTGCTGTTTTTCGAACTGTTTTAGTTTGAACATTTTTAGTAAGAAAAGCTTCAATGTCCAAGTTTGACTTGGAACCATAAAAAAATTATGTTAATTTTCGACAAAGAATCTGAATCCAATATTATCGCATTTGTAGAAAACCCGCGTTTGTATTTTATAAGCAAGATCGGCTCATATCTTGTAGTCATAATATCATAAACACGTCATATTTTGAAATATATCTCGAAAACATCTCATCTCAACCTCTCTGGCCAAGATAAGTCCTTTTCGAAACAATTATTATGGACATTGAGCATCATGACTTAAGCATGATGGCTTCATGATATTCTTGAAAATTCTAAACATTGCGTGAAACGTATATTATTAATATTTGGGTTCTTGGTTATAATTTTAAAAATGATACTTATACAGAAGTTTGAACGACTCATAACAACTGTGGGAACAGTTACATAATATCCAGTACACAGAAAAATAAGCAGAGTTATAAGGAAGAATTACATTTTGGGAATTTTAATAAAACAAATGATCAAAAAAGCAGATCCCAAAATGTACAGGTTGCACATACACATGCGTTCCACAAAGAATTATTCAAACTCTCTGGCAATTATTCTTGGTAGAACGTTTGTGTACCAATCAATAGCACAGCCATAAAAGACTGATTCCTAACTACACATCATAAATATGAAATCATTGAGATATCTCAGCAGCATATTGTGGAAATAATACACAAATTTATGTTGGTCTGATATGTGACAGTGGAAAGTTATGTTCAGCATCAATTTTCATTTTTCGTAATTAATTTGATAGGCCTACTGAAGGAAGTTTCATTGAATTTCAAACAAAATATTTATTATCAATGTAATGGCCCCATTTTAGTTGCACAATGATTGACCATCTGAAATCCATGTACTTCACACACAAGCTGAAACAAAAAGAAAAACATGTAATTAATTAATTAATAAGTATTGTAATTCATTAATTTATATGCACTATATAGTCGATATTTCATGAAAAATAATTATTGTGAATGCTAAATCAAGCTCGTTTGCAATAAATAACATTTAAAACAAATATCATAGTTAAAATTCTTGCAAAAGAAAGAAGACATCCCAACGTAAAATTGTGCTTTTTCTTCCAAATTGTACATCATTGATCCAACCACTAAATCAAGGAATCATTTCAGCATTTAAGGCATACTTCTTTTGTTGATAAAGATCATTCAGTAAATTTAAAAGAGAATTGCAAAGTTTTTTAGAAATTCTGAAAGAACTGCAAAATCGAAACAGACAGGTAATTGCAACTACGTCAGATAACTTTTGTAATTGTGGAGAAATAACTAGTGGAGTTTCAAGCAACTTTAAAAAAAATTGTCTTAACTGTAATTTCTAATGAGAGTGATGATGAAATTAATTTTGTGATCCTGATAAGCAGTTTCTATTTATTTTATAATAATAATTATTAAAAGTATACAGGATCAACATGGCACCAAAAGGGCTCTACACAACTTTAACTCTCGCCAAAAAATAGGAAATATCATAAAAATTGCAAAGTGGTTATAGTGGCAAAGTGCTAGCAGAGAAATATTATGTTGGTATATCCACAATTTTCAATGTTAAAATTTATTTTCAAATTTATTTTGTCATTCTGTCAAAATACTGACAGAATGACACAATAAATCCATTTAACGGTCATTTATTAATGGTGCGTTTATGTATTTACAGTTACATTGCAAGTTGTGTTTCTACACCAGTGAATATGCAAATTTTGTGAAAACCAGAAAAATAGAAAATGAATTGTATAAATGGTTTCAAGACATGCAACTATTACAACTAATATTTTAAGGAAAAAGACTATTTAAATTTACTCTAAATATTACAATGACAACAAATTTATTGCATGCAGAGGGTTTAAAAAGGGGCATGGTCGTCAATTGAAAGTGGTTGGAGAGAAATTATAACTTATTTTGCCTGTGCAAACAGCGATGGCACACACAAACTCAAAATGATGGTAATTTGAAAAGCAAGAAATCCTAGAGTTCTTAGGAATTGCGATAGGCTTCTAGTTGAATACTTTGCAACAAAAAACGCCTGGATCACTTCTACCCTATTTGTAAAATCAAGGTTCGACTAGTCATTTGTTGTACAAGTGAGGAAATTTCAAGCGGACAATAATCTTAATGGAAAAGCCATTTAGTCGACAATCCCCTAGCCACGCGCTGGAAACACAACTAACAAACGACGACGGCCAAATTATAACCATATTTTTACCACCCAATTGTACCTCACTTATTCAACCCATGGACCAAAATGTGATACAGTTAACCAAACTGTATTATCGAAAGAGCCTTTTGGTCCATGTAATAGGCTAGGACGAAAATGACATTTCTGAGGCTCTTAAGGACATTACATTGAAGGAGGCAGTGTTTTTTCTTGCCAATGCCTGGGACAAACTCGTGCCTGATCCAATAGCAAAATATTAGAAAAATATATTTTGTTATTCAGAGTATTTCATATTTTTGCTTTTGACTAAAAACAGAATTTAACAATGGTTATAACCTAGAAGACATGCAGAATATATACAACAGAACCTATGATAACTACATAAATAGCTACATAATCCGACATCGTCGCAACCATTCATTCAGTTCGACTTGGAGAGGAACCTGAAGAAGTTTAATATAACACCTGTCTTCAAAACCAGAATAAAAGGACAGGCCCTCATTAACAACAAACACAAATTCCAATATTCCGAACTCAGTGGCATTTATAAAATAAATTGTATCAATAGAAAACAGATCGTTCCTTAAATGCTAGAGCTAAAGATCGTTTATCCAAAAGTAAAGAAGAAGATAACTTCGTTCATCTTTTTTCAAGCACCTAAGCGTTTCTTAGAAATATGGTATACCTAGGGTTACTATTGAATTCAAATTAAAAGATCCTAGCCATCGGGATTTATTTGGACCTCCAACTGTATTGACAGAACAAAAGGAAAACTGTCTAACAAAATGGATTCTAGATTTGGCTCAAAAGGGTTTTCCTCAGAAGAAGGAAAATATTTTGTCTAGCGTTTAGAAGTTTTTGCAAGATCAGGTGATGGCTGGCTAAGAGCTTTCTTGAGAAGCACTAAAAGAACAAGTGAAGCTGTAACTTCAGCCAATGCATGCGTCAGCGAAACTAATATAAGAAATTGGTATGCAGATATTAACTCTTATGTGTATGCAACAAAATTTGGCAGAAGTCGTCAAAGACCTTACACGAGCTTATAATGGAGATGAAAAGTTTTTGAATGGAACGTCTATTCAATTGAACACAGTTCGTCTAAAGAGAACATTGCCGTAATATTTACGTTTTCGGCATCAGGCAAGACGTATTGCTCAATGATAGTTTATCCTTTCAAAAGGATACCGCAAAAGGTAGCAAACTCTCTTGATCCATCTTGGGGAATTGGCCAAAGTGATACAGGTTGGATGACTGCTTGGAAACGTTCTATGAATACATTGGCAACGTATTTTATCCTCATTTAATAGAAAATAATAGTTATCATTTGTTTTATTTATTGTAAATCAATTACGACAATTATTATTGTCGATATTAATGTGGGTGAAGATAATAAAATTTTAACCTATAATGATTTTGATAAAATTATTAGACATGAAAAAGTCCAAAGATTTGAGACAATTCATGAAAGAAGGAAGTAGTGATGAAAGTTTTTTGAAGCTTTAGCAAATATGGCGGCATTTTAAACAAAACAATAGAGAAACACCGCCGAAAAATGTAACTAATGAAGAAGTTTTACAAGAAATCAACGAACAAATAATTTCGCAAAATAGCTATGACTCTGGAGAAATTAACCAACAAAGACAACCAGTAGAAGACTCTACAGTTGTTATTCACAACGAATTAACTACAAACTCAGGACCAACTAGCGTCCAATATTCCCAAACAAGTAATATCAACGACTACCTCATTTATCCTGCCTCTACACAACGAAAAGGCAAAAAATTCCTGAAAAATTACCCTTTGTTATCACTTCCCAAAAATACAAGGACTTATTAACAAGAAAAGGAGAGCTGCAGGAAAAAATGCAAACTGAAAAAGAACAAAGAAAATAAGAAAGCATGGTTAATAAAATCAAATAAAATTTGTTTTATTTGTAGAACCTGCATACATTCAAAATTTTTTTTAATATGTAAAGGCTGCCACAAGCGTTGTGCTCCAAAAATACATAAACTGCACATTTCAGATTAAGAAACTGATGACTTATTTTTATGCCACATATATTTCAAACAGGATGATAGCTCTAAAAATGAAAAAGTTATGGAAGATGGAGAAGTTACGGGAAACGAAGATACAGGAGATGAAGAAGAAGAAAAGTTTTCAAGTAGTAACTAAATTGATTGAAGGAAAAAAAATTCGGAAAAGATATCAGAGAAGTGCCTATGTAGATGAGTCCAATGAAGTTGAGGTAGACGAAATGTACAATAACGAAAATATTTATTTATTTAAAGTATTTCTAAAGTGTGATAATAAATAAAATAATAAAAATTTCCTACTTATTCAAAATTTTAATATTTTTAACCACAATAACAATGTCCAATAACTGTCATTTTTGCAACTAAATAATAAATATTTTTTTCTTTCAAAAATAATATTGCATAACTTAATTTAACAGATACTACTGTAATCTGCACATTTTGGGCTACTAGAAGGATAATTTTTAGTGGGCATTTACTAGTCGTCATTGATCTGTGAATTTTCATAATTGAAAATTTCCTTAAGTGTCCAATAACTGTGTGATTCACCCTAATTGTATTATTTTGTTAATCAAACAAAGTTTGGGAGGTTTTTACGTTCTGGACGCAAAAAAAAACTTTATAATTGATGGTATTTATTATTTTATTTTGAGTTTTTATTCAGTTTCAAAATTTTTTATCAAGAAGTGCAACTTCTCTTCCAGGAAAAGACAGTATGCGTCTCCATTTAATCTCATTGGAAGAAAATATGTTCCAATTAAATAATTGTCAATCATACCAAGCCACACATTTAATGAAACTTGGATTCAACAATTTTATGTGGATTTTCTTCAGCGCATATGTGATAATTCTGGAAATTACTAATGGTTCTTATGAAATATTCGTCTCATCAGTAAACGAAAAAGTTGTGTAACCATTTGAAGAATCCATTGACAAAAAATTAAAAGAGGTAAAAAATCTCGTAAAAAATAAGGATACAACAGTTGTTCTTTTGAAATCCGAAATATGGAATAACGTTTGGGCAACAACCAAGTTGTGAATTTATGTCGAATGGGTTTGAGTATTATTTTATTTTTGTTTTTATTTAAATTTGACAAAAAGAATTAAACTATTACCTGTTAAACAGAGGAATTGTCTTCAAAAGTTAGACACAGGAAAACCATAGTTGGTGTCATCACATTGTTAGCAAAATAACTTTCTTGTAACACAACTGATACAAATCGGTACTATCTGTACTTTTAAAGGGTTGGCATCACCTAAAATACACAAAAAAATATTAGATAAAATAACATATACTACAAAAAACAATACTACAATTCAAGCTGAGGATGCATGACCTAGCTTTGATATCATGGGAACTTATAAATAAAGTAGCATTACAGATTATGCGAAAATTAAATCAAATATTCAACTAGTGTTACCTTGGGCACCTTGGGAACTTCTCGGATTCTGATTTTTTGTTCTTTGTTCATCCAAAGTATTTGGTCCAGTGGTGTAAACATTACTCTTCAGATATCCCTAAAGGGAGAAGTCCGGTGATATTAAGGCTTTTCAATTGGCCCTCTTCTAACACAGTCCATCGATTGAGAAATAATTGGTGAAATAAACTCGAACAGGAACGGCATAGTGTAATGGCGCGCCATCTTGTTGGAGAAATCGCTGCCACTGGAATTGAATTGAATTGATTTATTTTATGTATGTATTTATTTATTTGGGATGCAAACAGGGTTAACCCCAAAGTAACATCCAGGAAAAATAACAAAAAAAAACTTATAAAATAGGATTATATAAACTTATAAGGAGATATAATAAAACATATACCAATTTATTAAGGTCTGTCTTAAAACAACTTAGTAAGCAGATGTTTGAGAGGCCTCACCCAGAATGTAAGCAATGGAAGTTTCACCTCGACGGTTTGGGCGTTGACCTCAACCTACTATCCGGTCTAAAAATAAATTCTGCTTTCGTTGCTCTGAGCGTCATTAAATATTGTAATTAAAAATAATTAAACTTCATTTTATACATAAACAGAAATTTTATTAAATGGTCTGAAATTGCAGACTAACTGGTGAGACAGAAACAAAAATTGAGTATTTTTACACAGTAATAAATGTTATATGGGTGTGTATGAAGACTTTATTGAGGAGCCAGCGTATAATAACTTGCGAGTTCTGCGACGAAGTATGAAAAATAATGTAACAAAAGTTATGGTTGCATCATGCTTAGAGCCGTTTATAATCTGGTTATAAATAGGTCTGGTATAAGAGGGGTCATTAATTAATGACCCCTATTCGAAAAGATAAAATTACTGATATCACAAACAATTATCAGACATAAATAATTTATAACGATTTCCGCCGGATGTAGCCTAACGCACATATCCCGTAAATAAATGTTTGAATGTTGATAAAAAATGTGAAACACAGATGAGAACTAGAGTTTAAAAAAATTGCCTTTAAAATTTGAAAAATTAAATCATTGTCTCAAAAAAATCCAGATTTTTCCATAAAATGTTTTTAAATGTTTTAGCGCACTTCTTTCATTGCGTTCTAATAACCAATTACTATCTCGTACTTATCTATTAAACTTGCCAATGCTCTCAAAATGGGCAAAACATGCTAGTTAGAAAATCTTAATAGTTTTTTTTTGGGATAATTGCTTTTAACGATTTGTGAAAATTCAAACAATAAAAACAAACTTTTTCATAACTCGGCCTCTAAAAGATTAAGCGAATAAAACCAGATTATACATTAAAAAGACACAGAAATAAGCCATATGAGGAGAGAGGGGTTCGGGACAATCGGAAAAGATGGGTCTAGTGTGTTCCAAACTAGATTTTCTTTATGTAGATAAAATAAAGGTGCGAGTCCAGTCTGGAACACACACCAGCAAGATTAGACGGAACCCCATTCTACCCATATGGTTTATTTTTGTTTCTTTTTAATTTATAATTCGCTTCAATCGCTCTAATAATATTAGCGATATAACTTTGAAAAACTGACAACGGAATCCGACAAATTATTTTTATCGCCTACCGACAACAAAAACATACGTTGTATAGGACTACCTTATAATATACACCTTATGAACGAGTTTTCTAAACCAAAAAGGTAGTTGGTTGACAACTTTTAAACGTTAAAATTTCAAAAACGTCAATTTAATTCAATTTTTAAGGTTTGACATTAAAAAAACCTAAACAAATTCCTTTTTTCGTATGATTTAAGAAGCATAACTTAATTAATTTTCGTAAAAAAGAAACGACGTTTTATAAAATTGACATTTAATTTTGACAAATTGTTGTGAACAAATTGAACAGTTGGTAACATTGAATTTGTGTCACATTGACGTTTAAACTTTATACAAAAATGTATTTAAAAAATGAATTTATGACTCATTATATGAGCTATTATTCGCTCAGGTTAATCACTAGTGATGTTGTTACGTGCCAATTTTGTGTTACCGCTTTTCTTTTTTTTTCAACGAATACTTTCTTTGTTAGTAACACGAAGTTTTCAAGCCATTTGTTGTTGTTTTTTTTTGTTTGTTTCAGGCCAGCTCGGCGAACGATTATTCTTTTTTGAGCAAGGTCAGATAACATATTATTTTTTGCTAATCGACAAAAGTAGTGTGTAAATTTTTTTTAATGAAGTTTATTATATTTTTTTTTAAATCTGGTATTTGAAATTTCACTGGTTCGATTTTGATTGTTAATTTACTTTGTAAAAGATCGATTTAACAATTTATGTTGGGGGTTTAGTTTTGTAGATTTTTTTTATTTATCACTTATACGTTTGCCTGAACCAGATCTGCTTCACTCGGGAACGTATCGCGATTTAAGATAGGGTTTTATTTTCTTTTGATTTTTTTTTGGACCACTTTGGTCAATTAGTTATTATTATTTTATCAGTTTTTTTTTAAATTACCCCAGATAATTGGTTGGTCAATTCTTAGTTGTTTTTTTGGTTTTGTTGAACCTGAAAAGAAAGTTTAGTTTTTTTTTTACCAAATTCAAAACCATTTACGAGTCATTTCAGTTATATACTTATTTTTTTATATACGTACACACATTTTTTTTTTATTATTTTTTTTTTTAATAAACGTTATTGTTTGTGGCTTGAAAATTTCTGTGTTTACTTTTGATATTTCTTGTGTATTGTTCATTTTGTTTTTTATTTCCTTTTAAACTGAACAACTTCTCTTCGCAATTAGAGGCATTTGCGGTGGTAAATTGCGTGGCGCCCTTAAAAATTAACCCAGCCCGTCTTCCCTGGGTAAGCCGAGGTGCCGCAAATGAAACGACTTTAAATAAAGGAAATATTCGTGCTATTGTTTTCGTAATTGTAATTTCGATAAGGTCGTCGTAAAAATGTAATGAATTCCATTACCTAACTACATATTGATAAATTGACAATCTGTCACTAATAGAATAAGTCAAGTTTTAAACAAAAATTGTTTTTTCAATGGTATTAGATAAAATTTTGTAGTTAACACGTCATGAAACGGGTAATTTTGTTTAAATTAGTCTTAAAATTGCATGTCTTTCTGACGTTATGTAACGTCACATTTTTTATAACTGGATGTAATGATTTCATGAGTTTTGCAAATTACGTGAGTTACCAAAATTAGCCGTTTCATAAAGTTTCACAAAATTTTATCTAATTCCATTGAAAAAGCAGTTTTTGTTCAAAACTTGACTTATTCTATTAGTGACAGATGTCAATTTATCAATTTGTAGTTAGGTAATGGAATTCATTACATCACTAGTGATTGTATATTAACAATGTAATGAAATCATTATATCACTAGTTATAAAAAAGTGACGTTACGTAACGCCAAAAAGACATGTAAAATTTAATTCTCATAATGGAATTAGGTAAAGTGATTTTTTGGTAAGTTTTTCACTTTTCCGCACTTTCTTTTTATTTTTAACGTGTTTTTTAGGCCATTTCACATCAATTAAAAAAATCAAATGTCTATTTTTAAGCGTACGGCCGATTCTTCATAAATGCCCAATATATTATTTAGTATTATACAGTAATATAAGTTTCTATTCATTAATAAACATTTTTTATAAAAGTTCTTACCTCATCCTTGCCGACATCTTGTTCTTAATCATTTTCGAAATGCACAGTTGAAAATCTGCCTCTTTTTTGTGTTTATTCGATGACAATTGATGGAAGTTTTGAGGTAAACGTTACAAGAGACACTCCATATGCAATATTTGGACATTTCTACGAGGTTGTTTCTGAAAAAACTGTTAACACCGCAAAAGAAGTTTCTTCCAGGCTAACTCGCCTTGGAATGGAATTTAATGGAAAGCAGAACCAGAACGCGGTCGAGATGCCACGTCAGCGAAAGAGCTCATGCGTCATTGAAACGACATCTGGTGGCAACTATAGTTTGGTTTCCTGTTAATAGATGTCCCGATTTAAATAATTCTAATTTTTATATTTTTTTTGTAATTCTATATACAATAATATATTTTAATGTATTTGTTAAAAGCAGCAAAGATAATTTTATTTTAAGTATGATCTTGTTAACACTTTGTTTACGTGACCCTGACTCGCGCTATCCTATCCCATCATGTGTATAGCTTCACGCAAAAATATTGGTACATCTATTATAAATATGATTCTATGAAAGTAATCTTTTAAAATTATAATTCATTTAGATATATTTTTTTCCAAAAAGAAAAAGTAACCGGAAGGAGTTACATATCTTAAAACGAATTCCTTATATATTTTCTGCCGGTTTCAAAGCATTTAATATTCCCTTTAATTATTATTAATTAATTTAATTAAATTTTTTTAAATTTAATTAATATCCCTTTAATGTTATATAATTGTAATATTATATTTACAATTATATTCATATACAAATTTTTAGCTCCCACGTTAATATTTTCTGATTTTGAAGAATATTTTATTAATAGGTTTTCGAAAGCATTTTGAATAAGGTGTGTGGTTGAAGTATTGTGTTTTCGTCCGTTTCATTTCAGAGTTATAAACTAATTGTAATTTAAGGTCAAGGTTTAGAAAGATCTTACACCTAAGTTAAATCGACTTAGTATTATGGGTTTTTCAATTAACTAACGTAATACTCGCATTTACGGATTTTTCAGTGCGGGCATTTAATCGGCAAGGTTAAGGGAATTGTTAAGGTGTACCAACAAATTCAAATGGTCTCCCTTATGTGAATCAGCATTCCTGAAAATAAAGCAAGAAATTTCTAGTGACTGAGTTTTGGTAAGCTACAATCCTGGCATCTGTTGCCGTTGGTCATCGCAACAGATGCCAGTCCAATTGGACTGGCATCTGAACTGTCGCAGAGAAGAACTATTCCCAGCTGGACAAGGAAGCCATTGCTATTTATTGGGCATTTCAAAAGTTTTTTGCCTATACAGGATGATTTATAACATAGGGAGCAGACTAAGAGGGTAGGTACTAGAGGTAAAACTCAAGAGATTTTCTTAATAATGTTTTATTAAAAACTTAATAGTTACATAGATATCGCATGTTAATTTTTTAAATATCCATTTTATAGTCCATTTTTGAGTATCGCTGATATTTAGTAAATAATAATAATTATTAAAATACATAGTGTAATACATAGAGCAGAAGATATGCTTAATAATGAAGCCACTTATTTAAAACTTGGTAAGAAGGACCTTACAGGTACTACCCAAACTAAGATTAATAATTTGATTAAAGAACTTTTTAACGCCATTTACATTAATGACACAGAATTAAAGAAATTTATCAATAACAATTCGGTTATCTCTAAGGCATACTTTCTCCTTAAAATTCATAAGGTCAACTTACCCTTGAGACCGATTGAGACCTTTCAACCGTATTTGACAGCACTGTCTTCACGTTCAAAGACAACACCTACAAACATCTCCCCTATCTTGGCTCAGACTGTAATGGATTATACTTTAGATGTAATTATACCTAAATTAGACTTTCAATTACCTTTCATAAAAAAATATGTAGACGACATTATTTTGGCCATACCTACAGGTTCCCAGGATAGGGTCTTGTCTCTCTTCAATAGTTTTAATGAACATATTCAACTTACAATAGAATTAGAGACTGATAAGTATGTACCGTTTTTAGACGCTAAGGTGATAAGAGGTGATAACGATCGGGTTTTGTTTGACTAGTACATCAAACCGACGTATTCAGGGAGATACGTCCATTTTTCATCTTTCCATAAAATAAAACACAAAATAAATACTGTCCTAGCTATGAAATATAGAATAACAAAGATTGAGAAAAAGTGCTGTAATCATGAGCGATTCCACTTAATCAATTTTTTAATTATTTTAAAATTGATTTCTTTAAATTTTCATTATTTGTAAACAGCTTACTTACTATCAACTTCATTAAATATATCTACAGCAGTATTAGTAATGGAACAGGAAATGGTGATTCGGATTTTATCAAACTATGGCCAGGTGTAAAATTAAGTACAAAATTAATACAATTAGCCGATATTATATATTATTCTATTGTGAAATTCCGCCCATTTTACCCAATCATTATCGCTTTTTCAATAAAATTGTGCAAATTTTAAATTATTCACTGACCGTAATTTTAAAATGCAGACATTTTGAGATTATAGCTTAGGAACATTATTTTTATGTTAACTATTTGTATAATCCTGCTGAGCAAATAGCAATTTTCATATTATATTGTGATATAATACCTGTAACTTGTTAGCAGGTTTTTCTTACTGACGGAATATTATCAAAAAAAAAAAACGTTTTGTTAATACCTATTGTTTAATATCATTTTTTTTATATTTTATTTTCTATAACACTAATTAATTCTATCAGCTGTTGGATAATAAAGTTTATTTATGTTACCATGTTTCATTTTTTATTTTGGACTGATATTGTTTTTTAAACATCGATATACATATACGTATAATATCCACAAAGCTCTGACAAGGGAAGTATCAGAACTGTCCCTCACCGATTTTGTTGAAATTTGATACAGTGATAGTATGGCCAAAAATAAAGTTTACGTATTTTTTTTATACGTGCTACCAACATTGTAAGAACTTACAAGGGTTAGAAGTTTGGGGTAGAAAATATATTTTCGCTAATAACTTTCATACTCCTACAGAAAAATGTTTTTTATGCTTATTCTATTTAAATAACACAAAAGTTAGGATAATTATATAAGTATTTATTAATAATGAGTTAAAAAGTAACTGACAAAANCTGTAACTTGTTAGCAGGTTTTTCTTACTGACGGAATATTATCAAAAAAAAAAAACGTTTTGTTAATACCTATTGTTTAATATCATTTTTTTTATATTCTATTTTCTATAACAATAATTAATTCTATCAGCTGTTGGATAATAAAGTTTATTTATGTTACCATGTTTCATTTTTTATTTTGGACTGATATTGTTTTTTAAACATCGATACGCATATACGTATAATATCCACAAAGCTCTGACAAGGGAAGTATCAGAACTGTCCCTCACCGATTTTATTGAAATTTGGTACAGTGATAGTACGGCCAAAAATAAGGTTACGTATTTTTTTATACGTGCTAATGAAGCCCCTAGGGCGAGTTATAAGGGTTGTAAATCGGGGCGAAACATATATATGAGAGGAGATATATATAGGAGATTCAAAAAATCAAATAAATTTCAAATAAAATCTGTGATTATTGAAATCAGTGATATCATTTAAGATCAAATCAGGGAATGTTTTTTGTATAGGTCGATGTACATTTCTTCATAAAAATCCATTAACTTTGATTTTTTCAAATTTTTGATAATATTGATATTGTTAGGGTGTGGAGAATGGTTTTTTGAAATTAAATGTTTGTAAAAGGCTGAATTTTCTTTTTTTATGTGTTCTTTGTATCTTATATTGATGTTGCGTCCTGTTTGTCCGATGTAAAAGCATTCGCATTCGTTACACTTGATTTTATATATGCCACTTTTCTCTTTTTCCTTAAATCTGTGTTTATTATTAATTAAGATTTGACCTATTTTGTTAGAATTTGAAAATGCGGGTGTAATATTAAATTTAGTAAGGTTGTTTTTGAAGACATATTGCAAATTAGGGTGAAAAGGGACTTTTATGTAAAAAGTATTCAACTTAGTAGCTGGAAAAATTAGTTGGATTATAT